GGTCTCGAACTCCTGACCTCAGGTGATCCGCCCTCCTCGGCCTCCCAAAGTGCAGAGATTACAGGCCTGAGCCACAGCACCTGGCGGATTGATCTTTATTGGACACCTGGGGCGAGAGGGAACCCTCCTAGGCCTCGTGGGGGCGACAAAGACCAAAATATCAAAATGTCTCACCGCCCTTAGAACCTGGGAGAAGTAGGTAGGGACTATTGTTTCCTCTAGCCTACAGAAACTCACGTTCAAAGACTCGTTCAGCCTCACTAAAGAATCTTACCTAACTCACGACTAGAATTTGGAAGGCCCCTTGGTTTCTTCAGCACTAACATTTCACAGATAAGGAAACTGAGGACCAGAGAGGTTGAATGAAATTATGGCAGTAGGCCGGGCGCGGTGGCTCACGCCTGTAATCCCAGCACTTTGGGAGGCCGAAGTGGGTGGATCAGGAGGTCAGGAGTTCGAACCCAGCCTGGCCAAGATGGTAAAATCCCGTCTCTACTAAAAGTACAAAAATTAGCTGGGTGTGGTGGCAGACACCTGTAATCCCAGCTACTCAGGAGGCTGAGTCAGGGAACTGCTTGAACCCGGGAGGCGCAGGTTGCAGTGAGCTGAGATCACGCCACTGCACTCCAGCCTGGGTGACAGGGTGAGACTCTCTCTCAAAAAAAAAAAAGAAAAGAAAAGAAAAAAGAAAAAAACAGAAATTATGGCGGCTAGACATGGTAGCTCATATCTGTCATCCCAGCACTTTTGGAGGTCAAGGTGGGAGGATTGCACTTTGGGAGGTCAAAGTGGGAGGATTACTTGAGCCCAGGAGTTCAAGACCAGCCAGGGCAACATGGTGAAGCCCTGTCTCTACAAAAAAATACAAAACTTAGCCGGGAGTGATGGCGTAAACACCTGTAGTGCAAGTTACTCAGGAGGCTGAGGTGGCAGGATCGCTTGAGCCCAGGAGGTCGAGGCTGCAGGGAGCGATGATTGTGGCACTGCACACCAGCATGGGTGACAAAGCAAGACCCTATCTCGAAAAAAAAAAAAAAAAAAAGAAAGGAAGAAAAAGATAAAGGGGCCGGGCGCAGTGGCACATATCTGTAATTCCAGCACTTTGGGAGGCCGAGGCAGGCGGATCACTTGAGGTCAGGAATTCGAGACCATCCTGGCCAACATGGTGAAATCCTGTCTCTACTACAAATACAAAAATTAGCTGGGCGTGGTGGCGGGCGCCCGTAGTCCCAGTTTTTCGGGAGGCTGAGGCGGGAGAATGGCGTGAACCCGGGAGGGGAGCTTGCAGTGAGCCGAGATTGCGCCCCTGCACTCCAGCCCCGGCGACACAGCGAGACTCCGTCTCAAACAGAACAAACACACACACAAACAAAAAGGATCTGTCTGTGTATGTTAAGCGGCTGAGTTGGGAGCTGAGAGACTAGGGAAGGGAGGAGGAGGCTGGCTGGTGCTGTGACCCACATGAGAAGGAATGAGTTCTGAGCTAGGGGACGAGGCTTTAGAGACGGAGACACCTTGAGAGTGATTATATGGGAATCCTCAGATCTCTCTCTCTCTCTTTTAATGCACGAGTGCCTGGTTTTAATTCCCTGATGAACTTCAGAGCTGCAGAAGAACTTCAGAGTGGGAGAATAATACTAGCAGCCGTTTCCAGGTGTCCCATTTTGTCTGTGCAAAGGCATTATGCTTGGTCCTTTCATACATGATTTTATTTCATCACCCTGAGCGGTAACAGAATCATTCCTGTTTTACAAGTGACAATATGAAGCTGACTAAGAGTTCACAGCTCTAGGGCACGCTGGTAGGGTTGGACTGAGACTAAAGTCCTCCCGACATGACAACATCCCTCAACCCAAGGAGATCCGTTTTCCGTTCCCGCCTTCGGAGGCCAGCGGCCCGCCCCACACTGCATCTCGCTCCTGACGGCCCGTCTAGCCGCCCCGCGTCTCTAGTGTTTTCCCTTCTTGCCCATCTACCCGCAGGCTTCCTCTCGTCTGCACTCCCACACTGGCCCCTCTACCCGCCCGCCTCTCTATGGTTTCCCCATCTCCCCAGGCCCAGCCGTCCGCCTTGTTACAACTTCTCCTTCTCTAAGCTCCTCAGCACTGGAGCCAGCGGGTCCTAGGCGGGTTGGGTCGGCTATCCGGGCTGCCTCTCTGGTCCAGCCGAGAGGAAAAGGCGGCCAGTGAGAGTGCTTTTAGGAAAGGCCCGGGCCGTGACTGGGGAGAGTCCCTGGGAAAAAGGAGCGCGTTTCGGGCCCTTTGCGAAAACGCTCCGGCTGGAAACACAAGGCTCCGAGAGGAAGGAGCCGCTCTCCGCTCTGACCCACTCCACCCCCTTCAGTAAGTGGGGACCCCTCCGCCCCCCAACTCCCCAAACGATCACGCTCCGCCGAGGGGCTTCCTGTCTCTCGTTCATTTTTGTTCTGACAGCGCTGGGAACCAATGGGGAGATCGGG